TTATTTTCAGATCTGAATCAAGCTAGAAGCCATTAAATAATACTTCAGCAAAATCGTTCATTCCATACACAAAAATTAATCTAAGAGAAATAAGATGATCGCTAGAAAAAAAAGTTAAAACTTTTTGCTAATACTCACCGTGCCTGACATTTTTACGCGATTATTTAATGATGCAACAAAATAATTGTCAAATATGTATCAAGCTGAACTTTTAAATACTTCAACAAAAACCCCATTCTTCCCATGTAAAGAAAACCAAATCTAAAAGGAAAAGAAGCTGCCTCGGTGCCTAAAATTCCATTAGGTACCCCTATTGACCCCCACGACCCCGTTTCTCGTTTTCCATTGTCGTTCGCGTGTATGGGTGCGCGGTCGTCATCCCGGTAGCGCGCTGACATTCGTTACGTAAAACAGATGTAAGGACGAGCGTGGGTGACCGATCGCGTGGCACCTGGTGATAGACGATAGGTCAACGTGGACGCATGTCGCTAATCATTATCGCGTTTCATTCAACTTTTGCGCGTTCGTCGCTTTCGCGCGTAAAGAGCATTGCCGAGTACAAAAGTGGCGTACGTGACGGGCTGCTGCGGGTGAATGGAGTCGGCGCTCGTGCACCAATACGAGCGCGCGCGTACACACGTACGGATGCACGGACACGGGCCGGCCACTAGTGTGCGGTGCCCACCGATACCCGATTCCGTGATTTCGTCGAACCCCCCGATATTTGATCGACTGTTACCGGCCTATGTCATCAGGGATGACCGCGACTGATCGTCCCCGCGTTACTTATCACACGTCCGTTAATGTCTCTCTCATAAACTTACCCCAGGATCGGGCGTACGTTGTGACCACGAGGTTGCATAGCAGGCAAAGCGTGCTCAATAGGAAAGATCGCGTCTTAGCGGAGATCATGACTGGCAGTTGTTCGGCATTCGCGTGGACAGACCGTGGTGTGACGAGGCGCATGAACAGGCGACACGGACTCGCGTATCCCTCTCTTTCTATCTTCGGCAAATACGGCAAATATACGTGCCGAGAAACGTCAAGCACGTCCTCACACCGTAGCGGCTGTGCGCGAACTGAGGGCAGGCAATCAAGCCGCGTCGTCTGCGCGCTTCGCTTCGACTTCCGAGCACGGCGATGTGTCGAGGCGCCGCGACGTGCCAAGGCGCCGCACTGTGGACGCCAACGGACGGCGTTTAGTCCCAAAAAACAGAGTGTCATTTCGAATTCATTGCCTCGTTCGTTTCTGCTTATCAACTTGAGAGCAGCTGCAGTTTTAATATTATATAAGTACATAATATTTATTTGAACTTTGATTATTATAATAATATAAAGTGTGTTACGCGCGCTCTGATAAAGTATTCTTACTAAGCCGGAGATACAATTGATAAACTTAGGCAATAGATTGAAATCTGTTATTCCCGGTTTTTGTTGTTTTGCTTCTTTCAATTGTGCGTCAGGCTTTAACGGATCAATATGACAAATATTGAGAGTGTGAGTTTTTATTCAAGATCTTTTTGTTTTTGAAAAACAAAATCTTCCGGTCAATATGTCAATATTTTGAATTATTAAACTTTTATAATTAATTTAGTGTAATAATTGATTATAGAAGAATAAAAAGTATTTTCTTTTATGTTTTTTTTCTGCAAGCAAATAAAAAAATGACATTTTTTTTCAGTCATTATAGCAAAATGAGCGATACTCTGATCTTAACTTTTTAAGAAACATTAAACGAAAATGTCTGCTTGTTTTTTTCCCCTTCTTTTTATATCAGAAATGTTTTATCCGAAATGAACTTTTTATATTATTTTTCTGCACGATCAGCTAATTTATTGTCAAAAGAATCGGCGGAATGTTGTAATACGCTCTTTAACTGCTCCGTGCTGTGAATCGAGTGAATTGTTCGCGGCGGATCGCAGGTCACTCTATTAATTTCTTCATGAGGTCAAGCATTTTAATCGCTAATTGGTAAACGCCCCGATTTATTAAACTTGATTAATACATCCATGTATTATGCACATAATATCCCTCATGTCATTTTAATTTATTATTTTCTATAACGGATTTATATCTCGATTTTCAGAACGGCTCACTATTGCGTTAATGCTCTTTTGCGCATCAAACGTAAATTTTTTAACACGTTTCTCTCTAAGGATCTATCCAGACAACTTTGTATAATAGCATAAAGAAAATTGTACAATCGCGTTTCACGTGCGTCTTTATAATAGAAATATGATTGAATGATTTTCTTTTCATGCATGTTCCGTTTACGCAAATTTGTCAGAATAAACCTTTAGCGAGCTTCTCTTTCAGCAAGTCACGGACAGACAACTCCTACGTACAAAATAGAATTGCAGGATAAATTAAAGCGGTAATCAAATTATGTAATAACCGTAAGAGACACTTAAATGGAGGATTTGCGAGAAGTCTCCGGTCTAATCGCACGAGAGAACGTCATTATACTGACTGTTTGTGTATATCGTCTTAGGTTCTATCAATCAACCGTTCTATTTTCTACGACGTGCAACTCAGAGCGGATATTGGAGATGAATTCGAAATTGGGTGCGCGATCAATCGTTACGTCACTGTACAATCGCGTGCCTCGGCTCGTAGCTGGCACGCGCCAATTTTGCTCTCGCGCTTCCATTTAAATGCGTCGAGTCTTTACCTTCGTCCATTTAAATGCGTCGAGTCTTTACCTTCGTCCATTCAAGAACGAACGCGAAAGCTTTAATCACGGACTGCTAATTTAAAAAGAAAAGAGACAAGGTCTTTTGACCGGTCTTTTTAAACTCGAAGAGATCGAATGTTCTTACTTGCGTTTCGTCGAGGATGTAAAATATTTTTTCTGTGAGTTGCGAAAAACTGAAATAACGCAATATGACAAATTGACTACTAGATATTTATTGTTAGATCACGAAGATAATTACGCAGATTGGAGCAACGTTCTGTTTACTAAAGCATTTCTTTAATCTGTTTTTCGAAAGTATTAATTTCTTGAATTTTCGAAACACATGATTTCACGTCTCGTCTATTTTTATTAATTTGTAGTTTTTCAGAAATTAATTTTAAAAATTTACAGATAATTAATTAATTTAATTATTAATTAAATTATATAATAAAGAACAGAACTGTGTTAATATCATAAATTAATATCACATTTTTTATTTTTGTAGACAATGTCATTTGTACGATAATAATATTATAATTGAAATCCAATAATTACTTTTCATAATAGCATTACATATTACACGAAATTTTAAGTCGTTACAATTCACAGCTGATAAACAACTTTTATCATAGCCCGCTATATTATCGACGCAAGGTTAACATTTTGTGCTCCATTCTCTCCGTTTTATAAATGTTAAAAAAGGAAAGAATACGTTAAAAATAAAAATATTAGATATATAATCGATTAAATACTTATAAAAATTAGAAACGATAAAAATTCTGTTTAAAAAATGTCTATAGTCGATAATTAAAATTTTGCACTTGTAAGTGATGTTACACTTTATATTTTATTTTATATGTTCTCAATCCCTTATAAAATTTCAGAATTAATAACTCATTAAGTATATATATTTAATTTCATAACAATATTATACGTATTTCTATATACCTTTGTTATTTTAGAAATATCTCTTATAAAAAACGTTCTCCACTCTATTTATATAAAAAGAATTTTTTATATAAGAAAAAAATACTCAAAAATGAATACGATAAACAATACTCTTATTAGACTATAATGTGCCAACGTTACATAAAATATAAATGATATGTGAATCGAGGGAAAATTGGGAAGCGAAAGTCGTCGGCGGGAATATCGTTCAGTTCAAACGATACCTCGGAGATATAATGTGTTGATGTGACAAATATATCTCAGAAATAAATCGCACAGCGAGCAAACAATAATCACAAAGCAAATTATAAATATTTCTAAACAAGAAATAAATTAGGAACGCAACCAAGTCGTCATAAAATATCTCACTATTCAACCATTTGATTTCGAATCAAATAAAACTTCGCATCCCAAAAATAAAACTTGCAACTTGTATTTTTTTTTTAATTTCTTCGCTTTTTTCAATTTACAATTAGTTAAATAATTACATTCTTCTTGAAAAAATATATATTATAATTTATGACTCTGACTCATGAGACGTTCCAAAATGTTTGTCTCTCTTCAAGGAAGTAGTCAAAAGTAGTGAATCACGAGCACGATTTCTTTTCATTCACACCACTGTCTAGAAGAAGGTAAAAGACGGCGCGAATGATTTCAGACTTTGCTCGAGAAATAAAAGAATTTAGAAGAACTTGTAGTCTTATTTATGGAGCAATTCGATCGACGTTGTTCATTCGCTCGAGATATCAGGACGACACCGATGGTGAACGCGAGAAAACGCTGGTCAATGGAAAAGAGTGCGGGAGCGGTCCGGAGCGACAACGCCGAGTACTAAGCAAGGTAGCAGACAGGCAGACAGGCAGACAGACAGGCAGGCAGGCAGGCAGGCAGGCAGGCAGGCAGGAGGCGGCGTATATTATTGATCAATAAAAGCGGCTGGTATGAGCGCCCGTGCCGGTGGCGGTGACGGCGGCGGCGACGGTGGTGGCGGCGGCGGCAACGACGGAGGCAGCTGTCACTTCCTCCGCGTTTTTACGTCGCGCGCGCGGATACACGCGCTCGCCGCCGCGCGCGCGGAACCGTGTTCCCGGGTACCAGGTAGCAGCGCGCGGAGCGATCCCGCTGCTCCTGGTCGTCGAGTCCCGACCGGTGGTGGTGCGTCATCGCGCGCGTTTTAGGTGGTGCGTGTAGGCGGTGTGTGCGTGCACGACGACGCGTACGCGAATACGCGTGATATACGCGCCGCCCGTCTCTCGACCGTTTGCATTCCTCTCGGCGTATGGGAAATACACGGCCGGAGGGTGAGACGCCGGCCGGGGGTAATAGTGCGAGAAGGGGACGGTAGAGGAGAGTACGCGCGCGAGAGAGAGAGAGAGAGAGAGAGAGAGAGAGAGAGAAGAGGGGTGGGGAGGCAGGAGAAAGGAAAGACCAGGGGGTGCGCGGACACAGAGGGAACAGGAAGAAGGAGAGAGACAGAGGGAGACCGACGTGCTACGACATGTGTCCGTGCTGAGTATCGTGTCCCCGACACCGTGTGCCGACGTACGAGGGTGCGTCTTAAGGCAGGGTCACCGGGAGAGGGGGTGCGGATGACAGACGGACGGAGAAAAAGATAGAGAGAAAATTCTCGTCGACCCCTTCGTGCCGTGTTCTTCGGGGCTCTCTCTCTCCCACGTCGTCGTCTACGCGGGACCACCGATGCAGACCTTACGGAAAAAAAACAGTCCTTGCAAGTGTGAGTAGAGAGCAGATTTTTTGTTTCGCTCAGACTTCGTTTACCCTCGCGTACCCCGTGTTCTGTAAATCGTTCGTGATTCCAAAGAGTTTATGTGTCTTCCCCGTCATCCCCGATGGTGGCGAGTCGACGGGTGCTCCTAGTGCCACCCTGTATATCCGTTAGGGGTGGTTAGGAGCGCTCCGTAATATGGCTTCCTCGCGTATTTGAGGGGTTTTCATGCCTCGTGCGATTTTCACGATTGACTGTGCAATTCGACACGATTGATGCGTCTCGCGACGCGAAAACGAGAACACGAGAAACAAGTCGTGAATTCACTCACCATAAAACCGGAAGTTTATCCCCTTTGCACCCAGATGAACGCGTTTATCAACTGAGCAATGAACAGACAACTTCTCTCGGCATCGCCGAGAGATGTCGACGTCTGTGCCGTGCGCGTGTTCTAGATTACTACTGCAGGACTTTTGAGAAGACAGCGCGGAAACGTGCTTATCCCTTTATCCGATTAGACACTTTAATTGGCGTAATTGAAATCGTAAAAGAATGCTGCGGGAAAAATGAGAAGATCTCGTTATGGAAATAAGGTGGGAAATATTCTAACAAAGTTTACGACAAGCACGCTGATTTGAAATGGCATACATCGACGCGTGCTCCCTCATTATATATTTAAAGCTAAGCGGTCGATAGTTTTCGAATTACGCTCGTGTAATACGACGGAAGTGTTAACTACAAACTGAAAGGAAAATGGAGAGGAAAATGGAAAATGTCGCTGAATGAATTGCAAGATTGCGAGTCATTATATAGACAAATACACTCCGCATAAATAGACAATTTCTTAATGAGTCACACGATAATAATTTATCGTTTCTCTTCATTGTTTCTGAATCTTAGATTTTTCAATATTGTCACATAACTAATAGCCACGTTGCTATTTCTTTTACAATAATGTTTCCTTGAGTTACATCATACAGAATATCCATAAATAAACAGGTAAAGTTTGAGCCGGACTTCTTCGATCCAAGCTTCTTTTTTTTTTGTGAAAATGTCAAGAGTAGTCTCGACGCGATAAAAATATTTTCACAACGATACACCAAGTTTTCCGATACGTTTGGTTGCTATATTGTCGCATGTCTTATCGTAGACCGTGCAATATGTACTATATACACAGAATTTATCAATTTACCGATAAAACTTGACTTCAGAAACCGATAGAAACTGGAAGAAATTCGATTAAGATTCAGGAGACATTCATTTTTTATTAAATCTATCTTCGAGATCAAATTTTTTTAAAGAAAAATATGGGATAACAGAAGATTTCGTTGTCTCTCTCTCTCTCTCCTTAGAAAAATAATACTGTAAACTGCTTAGTTAATAAATTAATTACTTATTTTGAATATTAAAAATTAATGATAGTGCTTTGAATACTCAAATAAATGATTAATTATTATACAAATTAATTATTATACAATTGTATCAATTTAATATTTACGCGATAGAATTTTAAACGATGACTCTTAAAGAAAACAATTTAATAACGTAATTATTAACCAATTTATTAAATAATACACGAGAGAATTCTTATTAGGACTCTTGGAGAAATTTAATATTGCAAGTATTAAATTGATCAGTAACTAATTTATTTTCACTATTTTTAACGTATTTTTATTATTAAAAACACTAATAACAGTGCTTTTAATACTTTAAATAAGTAATCAACTAACCAATTTAACTTACGGTAAGAGTTGTTGTAAAAATTCTCTCGTAATGATATAGAGGAACTTACAATTAAATGTAATATCGTTGATTCGTACTTTGGCTAACTGCTTCGTCTTATTGCACACTCTTTTCACGGGCCATAATAATAATTATTATTGGAGGCGCGGAATACATGGGGGCAAGTGCAATGCAGGGCGCATCTGGCGCGAAAAGCAAGGAGAGAAAGAAGAAGGAGTCTCGAAAATTTGGATTGGTACCGGACGTATACAGTCCTCGAGTGCCGACAGTTGGCGTTCTACACTCGTAGACTACGAGTGCCTTCGAACAAACGCCACAGCAACCTTCAGTCATTAAAATCGTAGGGGCAGCGAAGAGCCTGCTGAGAGAAAAAAAAGTCGCGGTACCTCTCGCTTCTTTTTTTTTTTACGCTCTTTCTATATTATTTAGATCTTCAACAGATTTATCGTACCCTTGTTTGCACACACGGTCGCTGATAAAGTCAACTATTTTGCATAGTAAAGCATAATATAATTATTCTCAGACCATAATGTACAATTATTTATGTCCGCGCTGATATTTACTGTAATTCGGAGCTACGCGAACTAGTTACATTCATTATAAACTTATGCCATATAATTACACTTTTGTACCAAAAGCCGCGAAGTTATAACGAGTCGTGTAACTGGCGTAACGCATTGTTTCAAATATTTATCACCGGTATTAATCTCCATTTACCAAATGTTATCGAGTACTTTGATACAATGGAAGCAATATTGGCCGGCACTTCCGTTTACCAAAATGAATACAACAAATGGCACGTATTATTATCGCGGCTACGAACAGATATAGACCCAATTATCGGCTTCCGAACCATTAATTTTAATGCCGGGTCTCACCGACGGGAGATCGTTCTCGAGTTGTCACTCGAGTTCTTTCATTTTATAGTCCCGCCGGTCAAATTGGTTGTACGACCGATCGATGTCGATTTAATGCGTCCGAACGTATCGTCGTCGGGATCGCTTTTCTGGAGGGCCTCCCCTCAGCGACTTCAAATACGATAATTCGATCTACTGGGCACCGAGCGATTCTCCTTCATGCAAGATCGAGCGGGGCCCGCACGGCGTGATATTACAACAAGTACACCCCGTGCTTTCGTATTTTCGCGTTACTTCCGCGACGGTTCACCGTGCAGAATGGATTGAGAACGATTCGCGGCGAGCGACCTTAAGGGGATCCTAAAGTCGTCCAAACCGGTCGATTTTATGCCAATATACGAAAAAATGTTGGAAAATTATAGTTTTGTTATCGGCTTCTACCGTCGACTCGTAACAATATTATCAATTCATTCAACGAATTAAGCTGAACACCGATGAATCAATTTTTGTTCAAAAATTCCTGCTGCAATCTTAATTTTCTACGACGTTTATAAACAAACAAACAAAACAAAACAAAATAAGAACCGCAACTGAAATAGATCGTTTGTCGTGTACGAATTATTAATCATACAGCTGCAGACATTGGAGATTATTTTTATTCGTTTCTCTAATGAATTGCCAGTTATTTCTTCATTCTATCAATCGAAGGAGGGCGTTAAAATAATCCCGCATATATTTTTTGCTTTCAGTCAAGAATGACCCAACCCGCTTTCTTGGGGAGGGCGTGTCGTTCAAGGCGAAGCTGATCGGTATTTTGGAGGTGACGGAAGCACGCGGTGACCGGATGTGCCAGACGGCCTTGGCTGAGCTGAAGATGGCGATTCGCGCCGCCGGTGAGCACAAGCAACGAATCGCCGTTCAGGTCAGCATAGATGGGCTTCGTTTGAGGGACGAAAAGACGGGGGTAAGTAACGAAATTATTCACGTACAGGGAAACACTGCGGATCGATTTGTGAGATAATTTATGATTGCATCCTTTCGCAGGACTGCCTGTATCATCATCCGGTACATAAAATATCATTTATCGCGCAAGATATGAGCGATTCGAGAGCCTTCGGATATATTTTCGGATCACCGGATACTGGACATCGATTCTTCGGCATTAAGACTGATAAGGCGGCGAGCCAGGTAAATTTTTCTATTTTCGTTTTCTTTGAACGATTGTTTCTTTACGTACGTCATTGCACCAAAAAAATTTCCTTTAAAGATGTGTGAAATACGTATAATAATGAAGTGACGTAATCCACGATTAATTCTTGTTCTCTACAAGTAACGAATGAATTCTTCATGCGTACTTGAACGTCAGTTTGAAGAGCCTGTATCACAGGCCCTCGGCAAATACGCGAAAATCTAATCCGAATGCACAAGACGCACAGGGCGAGGGGCATCGAATTGATTTCGCAGCTCGAGAGTTATCAGGGACACGCACGAGCGATTACGATTTCGCGTTCCTGCGTCGCTGCCAAACGCGGTTAAAGTGTGTCAATTATCGAGAACGAGTAGCCAGCCGGGCATCGAGGAGGGGTGTAGCCGGAGGAGAGCAGGGAGCCTAGAATGATATTTGCCCGATCCGAGAAGCAATATCGACCTCGGGCGACCGTAATCCCGGATGCGTATGTAAATAATTGCATTACACGGCTCCGCGTTCAACTCCACCCCGTTCCTCCGTTCCACGTCCTCGCCGCGGGAGATTGTTGCCGGATTATCCACGGCTCACTTCGTATGCCCCGTTCAAAGGGATCGACGAGCAACTTCTTGATATTCAAATCCGTCGGTATATCCCACTTTTGTGCTCAAGCACCGCGCGATTTAAGCGTCGGGAAAATGCTTCTTTCAAGTGTTTCCTTTTTTTCTGCGTCGAAGAAAATCGAAACTCACACGCGAGTAGCATGTTGTTCTTAAACGCAATCGATCGGGAGCGAAGCAACTGTAAACGTGTTATTATTATTATCCTAGGGACACAATGAATACAAAACTTAAGTCTAATGAATTTTAACGCATAAGTTAGATATGAGACAGCAACCGCGTATAATAATTTTGACACTGCTTCATTGAATTTAATTTTATTACGCGACGAAAATCTAGTCAATTCATTCAGAAAAGGTACTTTCCTAATAAATCTCTGTTTCACTTATTTTCCCTTGTCTCTCATTGAGCAAAATAAGTTTGAAATAGTTAGTATTATTACGCGGTATTATTCGCGCAATGCATTGCGGTCGCGAGCAACTTTCCACAAGACGAATATTAGACATAATAGTAGCGAACAGAAGTTCATGACGACTAATCAGCTACGTTAAGTCGAGGAATATGTTTAACTCTGGCATGAAGCACGGAGACTTTCGCTCTCGATTGTGCGCGCGCTGGCACAATTGCCGGGCCCTCAACTCGTACAATTCAATAGTGGCGATCATCGCCGCGAAAATGAAATCAGCTCGGGAAGCTTGCGCGACAGGTGGCAAATTAATTCAACAACCTTACGCCTTCATTCAATTTCCAAGTTTAATTTCTGCGCTCGCCTCCTGTAAACGACTCCGGTAATCCTCGCCCGTATATTCGGCGGCGTGTTTGATGCGCTGCTGGAGGTTTTAACCGACGTGGAATCGCAGCAAATAGAGGGTTGTCGCGCTGATAGTACGGGGGTAGGAGGGAAGAGGGGGGGGGGGAGTGAGAATAAAACGAACGATCGAAGAAAGGTTTCGGAAATTACGATCAACGAGCGTGGGTAATTTCCTCGATATTTTTTCATTCCTGAAGGAAGTTAATTTAGATTCGTCGCGGGAATTCTCGAGGCTTCAAATTGGTCTTAAAATAAAGGAAAGTTCATCCCTTTTTTTCTATTGGAACACAAAAAGATCGCTACATACGTGAAAAATTTTAAGATGATAAAATGAATGAAAAAAATTTGTAAATAAAAAATCTTACTGTTATTTTTATAATTAAGTTTCTCAAAAAGATGATTTCTTCAAAAATTAAATCGAAAAATATTCTCAAATAAGAAGAATACTTCAAATACGTCTGAGTTCGAATATGTACGAAATGACGAAATGTAAATGAGTTTACGTCTGCAAGTTTGGTGCAAGTGGCACAAACAAGATATTTTGTTTAACAGGTGGTGATAGCGATGCGGGACTTGTTCCAAGTAGTGTTCGAGCTGAAGAAGAAAGAGATTGAACTGGCGAAACAGCACATAGAGCAGAATGCCATTAATGCGATTAAATTCCACACCGGCGGTATTTTCGTTGAATCGGCACCCGACACCAAGGTGAGTTCCAGTCCCTCGAAATAATTGCTGCAGTCAAGATATGTCAGCTAAATTGTTCTCTTTAATGACTCTTTTTGTTCGCATTTTTAACTGCTTCTCCATTTTCTTCATAGTGTGCCTGAAGTATCATTATTCATGAATTCATTAATTTAAATATCATCTAAAATCAGTCAATGTGACTTGTCAAACTGATTCTTTATCTCATTCTAAATAGAATTAGAAAATCTATAATAATTAAAAAAGATCATGATTAACTTTAAAATTTTTATAAATGTCATTAATCATAATCAAGATGATTATTTGTCGTTGTTTATATTGTAACTATCATATTGTATTATTACGATTTAGAAAGAAATAAAGAATCGATTGCACAACAGTACGAGTTCATCGACGTTGGTGGATTGGACTTTAAAAGAAATACCGATAATAGTAAGACGTAATTAACAGACGCTAGAGACGCGTTACGATAATTTGTCGCAGGGCGCAGCGGGCACCGAGTCATCGTTTCATCGAATTCGCACGACTAACTGCGAGGTCGACAAAACCGCCGATCGCAAGAACGAGACACAGAGCGGTGTGATTGCGGATTTGCTAGATCTCCAGTTCGAACTGAATTCGCTGCAGCAGGGCATTCATCAGATGGACAAAATTACGCCAGAAAATCCCATACCGTCTACCGACGATCTATTCGAGACCGATCCGTTCGGTGATTCTTTCGCGAACATGAAGGTGCGGATTGGTATTGCGAATTTGCGAATATCTTCTTCATCTAATGCGTTAGAAAGGAAATTGCAATCATCGCAATCTTAATATCGGTGTGAATGGAGAAACTGTATTTTTTTCATTATCTATCAGAAAACGAATCAAACGTAATCATTACAACCATGATATTCATAGCGAAGAAAAACGATATTCATTGACAATATTATATATTCGACGTTTTATTTTTCTGTACCTGTTGCAGCTGCAGGACACGGTTCGTCCAATTCTGCCACCGCCACCCTCCTCGACCAAGAGAGGGCATTTAGAAAGACAGCATACCGTACCAGTACCGCCCGCATCGACTACTTCCAGTCCGGCGACGACGTTAGTTAGTAAAACGCCACCACCACAGAGCACGATTCACTGGTTCGACAAAGAGGCTGAGGATCTTTTCAACGACAGTGAGATGACAAGTCTAAGTAAAAATTCAACGACGAAGAAGGATCCGGAAGATGTAAGTGTGTCTTCTCTATAATTTTCTCTCCATTTTTTTAGCGAATAATACATTTCAATAATAATAACTTCATGCGACTTATATCGTATTGCAGAGCTCAGTGGAGACTACGCCTCGTAACAGTCAAACAAAAAGTCCGCAGATCGACGTGTTCACGGAACTGGATCCCCTGGGTACCGGTCTGATTAAGCCTTACGTAGACAAGAAGGATTTCTTCCAGCACTTGAAAAATCCACCGAAAAAAGTCCTCAAAGATTTGGTGTCAACGAATTCCAGCGATAGTTTTCCAACGAATTTCAACATCACAACCAGTACGGAATGCATAGAGTCGACGAAAACGCAAAATGAATTATCGTCAAGGGACAGCGAGGACAATAACTTCGCCAATTTCGATCGATTCGATGAGAACGAGGCGAGCCAATCCTCCTCCCAGCAGAGAATCGAATCGCCGCCGAAAAAAGAGACAACCTCCCGCTCGATACATCATCAGCCTCTCTCGGTGTGTTTGCCACCGGAGGAATCGACGTTATCTAAAGGATCGGCTACCGCTTCGGGAGGAAGCTCGATCCTTCGTAGTATGGACAGAGACTCGACGGAATCAACACAGGGGTTGGTGAAGCTACCCAGTCCGAAGAAGTATCTTCAATCAGTACGGAAGAGGGACTTCGACATCGATTTACCGGCCGGAAAAACGCAGTCTTTGGAATCCAACAAACAGTTCCCGGTGGATTTCTCGATGACAAACGAATCACCGGCATCGCCACTGCGGTCTTGTTCATCGGACGCAAACTCGCGTCTTTCTAGCTCGAGCGCGGAATTGGATCTGGTGCCGGAACCACCGCCTAGGGGCACGGGAAGTATTCTTATTAACCCGCCGCCTTTACCACCGAAGAAGCAGGGAGTTCGAGGGGGCGCGAGGCCACCGCCTAGACCGCCACACACGGAGGGACATTTCCAGTACGACTTTCCACAGCGTGAGACCTCGCCGTCACCCACCAAAATTGTTAGGGATAAAAACAAAAGTCCGCCGAGAGATATCAAAGGTCATCAGTTTGACGACAATTTCAGTCCGTCTGCGCAAATATCCGATAGATCGGACTTTACGGCGACCACTACCTCCGCCTTCGAGGATTCGTTCAGCACGATAATATCATCCACAACATCGTTATCGTCCGTGCCCTTTACTACCAGCAGCACCAGCGTCCCGGTTACGGACTCCAAAAAGATGAAACCGCCGCTGGATATCACGCTCAGTCAGCTGACATCATCGTGGACGAATCTGGATGAGTTGGCCTCCAGTCTTAGCATGACCGTTCAGCAGCTGACGAGTCTGACTTTGACGCAACTCACGCAATGCTTGGCGAGTCTTTCGGCAAAAGAAACTATCGCTGATGCAGAGGAAACTCCGTCAATAACGACAACGTCGATGTCGACATCGATAAAGGAGCAAACAGTGGTTCCATCTAAATCAGTGACCTCGTCGCTGTCGTCGTTGGCATCAAAGTCGCTTGAGATGACGATTGGATCGAATTCGACTTCTTTCGTGTGCTCGGAATCTTTCAAAACCAATTACGAACCGGAAACAAAACAGGATTCTACGTATGACAAGTACGCAGTTTTTCGAGAATTACTGGAAATGGAGCAGATGGAACGGAAGGAAGAAGAGATCGAAGAGCCAACTGAGAATAACGAAGAGTTTAATAAAAACGAACAAGATTCCGACGAAGTTCAAATTCAACCAGATGTACCAACCAGTGAGAGTACTTCGAATTCTATAGCTTCGTTGGTGAATTTAACCGTCAAGCTACCAGTTAAAAATGAAAACTTGTTGAAAGAAGGGCCTGCAACGAAATCAGACGAAACAGTAACTAGCTCCCTTGTAAATTTAACAACAGAAAAATCGATAGAAGTCGAAGACAAAGAAATCGAGAAGGAAAGCGACGTGATTGCAGATGCAGATGTCACATCCGATTCGTCTACGGTCCAGCCAACAGAAATAGACATCGACGACGATAAGGAGAAGACGCAGACTATCATGGATGCGGAAGATAGACCAGAAAATTCCGAAAAAGGGAGCGACGCCAATGGCACTTTGTCTGATAAAATCGGATCCGATATTTTCAACGATGAGATGAATGGCTCATCCGTGGCTGAGAGATCCTCGATGGAGGTAAAATCCTCGATTTCCACATCAAGCGACAGATACGCTGCTCTACGGGAGATCATCGGCGAACCAGAGCCGGTGCCGATGATCAAGAAGGACGACGAGGAGATATTGAGCTCCGCCCGAGCATCACCGGTGGTGCAATCTCAGCAACAAATTCAGCAGTCGAGAAGCCTGGCGGAGGTAGAATTATTGAATTTGTTTTCCGACAGTCTGCCACCACCAGCGAGCTCGAATATCTCGGCTAAGAAGGATTCGGAAGATTTGAAGGCTGTAGCGATGGACATTTTTGAAGAGATTAAAATGTTGAACACCGGCACACATCGCGCCAAGGAGACCAAGCCATTGGCTTCGTCCTCGGGCTTTGAGGACATGTTTTGTCCGTTCGGGGAGACGACGCGATCGGACAAGGATGACAATAAGGAAGACACTAATTGGGCCAAGTTCGACACGGGCGTCTTTTGCTCGTCCGATAGATCTTCGTGCGAGGGACAGCGATCGATAGGCGGTACTTCGCCATGGTCACCAGACGGCAAAGATTTCCATAGAGAGATTTCGTTCAAGGGAAACAGCGGTTACCGACACTCGGGCGACAGCGATAACGAATGGAAAGACGAGGAGGAGAGCGAAGAGAGCAACGGCAGGTTACGAGGGGACGGTAGATACTGGTCCCGGCATCCGCGATTCGATGCACCCGGTTTTGAAGATAGATCGTTTTATGAGGATACCGACAAACGGGACCGCAGCTTTCGCGACAGGATGGGCAGAAAATCGCGCGGTGCACCGTGGACAAAGAGTGCCGCTCATCGTCCGCGCGACCCGTCACCCTGGTACGAGGAAGGTCAATGGGAAGACGACGGTCCGCGGCGGTATCCACATCGAAAAGTGCAGCCCTACAAGGACGACGAGGATCAATACGAAACGCATTGGAAATGTCGGTCGAAGCCGCCGCCGTCACAGCGGTGTAATTGGAGTCATGACGTTCACGGTTCGTACTACGATGATGAGCGTAAGCGAAAGCTGATGCTGTGGAACGACGAAGATCGTTTCGGTAGCAGCCAAGAGAGCATGGGTTATGACGAGGAAGATCGATGGAGTAGAAGAAGGTACGAGAGAAGACGATGGGAGGAAGATAACAGATTCTGGGGTAGAAGAGGGCCTCCAGACGCCGATTATGCTTTAAGAGAATCACTCTATTATTCACTATATCGCGATAGCAGAGACAGACCTCACGATTATCCGTCCTGGGACGAGGAGTACGGTCCGGAACGTCCGGGCGACGACTCGCCCAGATACAATCCGGCGGGTAGGAAGAGACATTGGCCGAAGAGACCCAACAGCGCAAACGACGGCCGTAACAACGATATGGTGTACGCAGAACCACGCAAATTCGGCGCCTCCAGGTCCGAGTGCAGCGACAATGATTCCGATCCGTATCTACGACCCTCTCAACGTTCTAGGAGTCGCGAGAGCTACTGGGGTAGCGATCAGGAATACGATAGCTGGGTAGAGCGACCGTACTGGTCCGAAGGTCCCGATTCAAAGAGTGAGACGATGCACCGCAAGCGAATAGCCAGGCACAAGACTCGACAGGTGCAAAAGACGCAGAGTCCGTTCGAGGACGATTTCGCACAAAGCGTTGAGCACATGGAACCGTCTGGTCCAAGCGGCGCGATAGAACCGCTGGCACCGGTGGATGTGCGCATACGACTGGATACGGCTGACCAAAAGCGGGAGCCGCCGCCTGCGAGTCCCTCGTCCGGTATCAGAGGTCCGAAGGATCATCCTAGGCGAGATATCCCCGTTCGGGAATACAACAAACGATCGAGCTACTTCGAGGATGATCTCACACCCACGGCGAGCGCATCCAGTGACACGTCCGACCGACAGAGGTTGTCGTCCGAACTCAAAGCCACGCCAGAGGAGCTGCCGTGCGATACCAAGGATCCACAGCAGTCCATCGATGGCTTCGTCTCCGAGGATAGCGGTCGTGATTCCTTCTTCAATGGCGATCTGAGGTTCGACGACGACGCCTTCGTCTTCAAGTCCGAACTGGATGACAACGTGCCGGACCACCGTGCGACTACGTTGCCGCTGAAGAATTCGAGACAGGGAAAATACGGGCCAGGGAATAATAATAACAATAATAAGACGGCTAGGGGTGATCAGTATATCCGGAAATCGGAATCGGTGAATATCTTCGCGAGGGAGAGCGACCCGTTCGACGGCGACGATTTCTTCAATTGATCTATCGAGCGAACGACAGTAAGGGTCGCTAAAACCCCGCGCTAAGTTCGGTGACACTAATGTGGACTAGATAATTGGAACTTGGATTTAAAAAAATGAGAAGAAAAGAGAAAAAAGGAGAACAAAAGGACGGTTTTCATTGCACACTCGAAAAACGTCGGCGGATCGTGAAAAACGGTGGAATCCAACGCTACAACGATACTTGGTTCTCCTCTAGTCGGAACTCGGCTATAGCAATTTTAACGTAGTAAAATTGAAGAAAGAGCTTTGAATGCAACTTGAACATATCCGAAAAAGTGTTGTAGCGATATTTTTCTGCGCTTCTCTCATTTCACAAAATTCTTCTAAAAATCTATTCTTGTTCGACTGTGAGAAAGCGCAATTCTTCGTTTCACGTAACTAACAATTTTCTTATAATTTATCTTTTACATTAATTTACATATGCCCGTACTTCTCGACAGAATTAAGTCGTCTTGAAGAAAAGGGTGAAATGTCCAAAAATTAATCATTTTTAATCTTGTTTTTTTTTTTTTTTTTTTTTTTAAGTAGAGAAAAAGAAATTTTTAGGCATACACACAACAAAAAGACTAGTCCTATTCTAATGAATTTGTATATAATATTTTAATGTATTAGAATTGATTCGCCGAGAGAAAAGAAAGAGAAAAGTCAGCATGATTTAATAATTTATGTATTGCATAATTATTAAATATTTTATTTATATGTTTATATACTCAATTATTGTAATTTATTTAATTATCTTTTCGTTGCAAGAATTTGTAAATTGTGCAATTTAATTATATTTGTTAAGGACCGATTCTAGTCAAGTGTGCGTAACCGTTGTATTTGGGAGTTTCGAGGAAGGAAAACTGATAGCACGTTTTGGGGAGTAATCAAAACATGATTTTTATACATTTTTAACTAGCACGAATCAATTACTTTACATTAGGCGTTTGTACATCGTCGACGACGACGATCCTTCTGCGAGCTCCCCTCCGATTCGTCATTCGGTTACGCTGCTGACAAATTGCTCTCAAGCGTGAGAGATACGAAGGGTGGTAGAATTATATTTACACAGACGAGATTATTGCCTTATGTTCGTCGTACCTTTAATGTTCTAAGTATGCGAAATTGCTCGGATATGAAATTATTTAATGCGTATAAAGTCGGATTGTGGAAAGAAAAGTTTCTTTTAAAGGTATAAACTAAATTATTTCATCCTCTAATTTTTCGACTCTATTTTTTCATTGTAAGTGAAAATAAATGTTGACAGAATAATGTAATTCCAAGTTACAAATTACTTATAACAAAACTTAAAGTTAAAGTGATATTTCTCTATAAGGTGACTTGAAAATTCCAGACAATATCGTCCAGCACACGATGATTTCTTTCTGACACACCGAAGCTTCCCTCAATGGCTTCAATTATTCTCAACGCTTTTAAAGATAAAAATTGCTTTTACAAAAACTGTTTTTATGAAAGCGAAATGAGATGTAAAAGATAAGATAAAAACAAATACTTTTTACTTCAAATTATAAATAATGCTCGTCGCTACATGTTCTGTCTAATCTTATATACAGAGCGCGTAGTTTGTCAAGATTTATCGCAAATTCTCTATTAATATATTTGCATGATTTATGTTGATCAGTATTTCTACGCTAACCACCGTATTACAACGATCATGCCGACATTTTACACTGTATGTACTTATGTAATAATAGTAGTAAATTATTTATCACTCGTTTAATGATTACTCGACACTGTATTGCGAGTATGCGTCAGAAATGATAACGACAATACCGCTTCAATGGCAATTCGATTCCTTGTCCTCCCCTTTCCCAAAAGATTTGTTAATACGGCTGATGATCAATTATACATAATCAATTATACAAATTTATCTTGCTGTTTTTACATATGACTTCTTAAGGAATCTGTAGATACAACTATACGTAAAATTGCGATAATGGATAATAAGAAGAAATC